GGTCGTAATAAAATGTTGCTACTGCATATCGGCCGCATTTCGTTTACTTAAATTCGGAATTTCGATGTAAATAAATGTAGTGGAGCTTTCTCGGCAGAATGCTAATTTTCTCTATTTTCCCTCATCAGCTTTTCGCGAATTAAGTCGCCCACACTAAAAATCATCGAAAAACGGAGCATTTTCGTATTATTGTAGTCGATGTGAAGCCGACCGTGCATGTTCTATTCACATCAGGACACACCGGATGTGATATGTAAGAAAAACTTTTGACATGCGTTATAGTAGAATGCCTTCGCATGTCATTCAGATTTGCAGAGATATTATAAAATAGAAACTCAGTTTTATTTGATATGCAAACTTCAACGATACGCGAATCTGCACTCTCAACGTTTCCGAATGTCAAATCTCCGACTTCACTTTTTCCAATCAATTATTTTTGTCATTATTTTCAAATTTTATTTATTTTTTCTAATCCATATTGAAGTTTCTAAGTTTCTAAACGTTTAACTTGTTAGATTTCTGTTTCACAAAATTAGCACTTGATTTTTTAAATATTTGTTTAATGAAAGCTTTCATTTACATTGCGATCTTGTATCTGTTAATGACATTTTTTTAACATTCTAAAACTAATTACTAAAAGTAACTTTGAGTTGATAAACGAGGAGAATAATCGTGTCAGTATACAAATAACAGCCAAAGTGTAATTTTACACACGATTTCAATTAATGACACGAGTACGAAGAAGTACTACTTTATTGATGATTTTAGGAGAACTAGATTTTGGTCATTTATTTGCTTTTTTTTATTTGTAACTAAAACATAATCTTAAGCTTTTCTTGTTTCAGTTTTTTTTTTTTTTTGAAAATCTTTTATTTCTTGCGACCACCCCTCGTAATATAAATGTTCGAAAAGCCAACGTTTGCAAATGTCAAAAACACAAACTGCACTTTTTCGAATCAACTGTAAATAATAGACCAAAAAATGACAAGTAAGATAAGATACCAGGAACATTAAAAAAATGTTTAAAAAATTGTATCTGTCAAAAAAATTTGACATTTATTTTTTGTCATTTGACATTTTTTATGTCTATTGTTATCGATGATCTTGTATAGGTATGTTTTTTCATAATTATTCAGTAAAAGTGGAAAAAAATATGGACAATAAAAGCTACGAATAATGAGTCAAAGTGCAAAATTTATACTCTCATACGTCAAAAATTTTATAGAATTTTTTTAACATTTCTTACTTGTCATTTTCTTTTAGAGGTCTATTTACAAGACACCCTGTATTTTATACAAGTTTAAATTTTTGTTAGTATTTTAAAATTTTGTTTTTTATCCAGATATTAATTCTTAGATTTTTGTTTCAGCAATTGATTTGTGTAATAAATGTTTTTATTTAATAGTTTTTTATTGACAAATAAAAACGTAGAGACTTTAAAATCTTATTGTATTTGTAAATACAAATTTTTTTTTAAATAAAAATATTGTTTTATTTATTTGTGTAGTAAGTTACTAAAGATTACTTTGAGTCGATAAACAAGGAGAAAAACTGATAAAGTGTAACTTTACGGACGATATCAATTAATGACATCTGAGTACGAAAAAGTACCACTTTTTAGACAATTTTAGAAAAATTAGATTTTGGTTATTTATTTGCTTCGTTTTAACCTTAACTGAAACATAATCTTACCTAATAACCTATTTCTGTTTTATTTCTTTATTAAAAAACTTGTATTTCTTGCAATATTCGTCGTAATAAAATTGTTCGATTATGAACGTCAAAAAAACTAACTGTACTTTTTCAATCGATTGTCTTAAAACAAAATTTATATTTAAAAAAATCTTCGATTTTTGTTAAAATTTCCAAATTTTATTTTTTCTTAATTCAGATCTTAATGTTCTAAAGTTTCTAAACGTTTAAA